TGATGATGATCACCGCAAAGAATGGCGTTATGAAGATTGCGGTATGTGCTACGACGATCGTGAATGTCGTCACAATGATCGGCCAGAGGGATCAAGGGCTGCACAGTCACGTTGCCACCGACCAAAAAATTTCATCAACAATGTAGAGCAGCCACGCGCTAAGCACAATTTCAATGATGCCTACGAAAAGCTCCTTGATGGTCCGTGTCCAATTCACAAGGACAGCAAGCTCACCATGCGACAATGCTATGGCATGGCCAAAGCTTTTCACGATGAGGAGGAAAAATGGCAGCGGCGCAAGGATGATGAGTCAGATGATGGCAAGGGGGAGGAGCGTCCTAAGGACGCATGACCCACTTTCCAAGATGCCAACAAGACCATTACCACAATCTTCAGAGGGTACGCCGCCTTCGAGAGCAAACGCCAGCAGAAACTCACTGCTCGGCAGGTCATGTCGATCACCAAGTACGACACGGTCATCGATCCTAAATATTTCCCACTAGAGTACCCTATCACCTTCAGAAGGGCCGACTAGTGGGTGGATATCCCATACCCAGGGTGTTTCCCACTCGTGCTAGATCCCACCATCCGCAATGTGCGGTTTAAGAAGGTCCTCATCGATGGTGGGAGTGCCCTCAATCTCCTCTTCGTTGGAGCCCTAACTGAGTTAGGCCTCACAAAGGATGATCTTGTCCCTATTGATTCTCCATTTTGGGGGATTGTACCTGGCAAAGCATCCCAACCTTTAGGGCATTTCACCTTGCCAGTCCAGTTTAGCACCGCCGACCACTTCCGTACTGAGTACGTGAACTTTTTCGTGGCAGACTTTGACACCGCCTACCACGCCATCCTTGGCCGACCAGCTCTCGCTAAGTTCATGGCCGTGCCCCATTATGTCTACCTGGTGTTCAAGATCCCAATGGAACAGGGCGTTCTCACCCTGCGTGCCAACGTCTCCACCGCCTATGACTATGAAAGAGAAGGACTCGCCATCACTGATGTGATGGATCTCTCGGCGAGAATGGAGGCTTGCATCACCGACTCCTAGAAGGTCCCAGCAGAGGAGCAGTGATCCCAACTCAGGAGCCATCTCGGTCTACGACTAAGTCCAAAGACACAAAGGAGGTTGAGCACGTGATCGGCGATAGAAGCAAGATGGCCCAAATTGGGGCCCATCTCAACCTCAAATAGGAAGACACGCTCGTCAGCTTCCTCCATAGAAATGTCAACATGTTTGCATGAAAACCTGACTGATATGCCTGGCGTTCCTCGAGAGCTAATTGAGCACTCCTTAAATGTCTCGTCGACCGCCAAACCGATCAAGCAAAAGCTTCGACAATTCATGCAAGACAAAAAGGAGGCTATTAGGGCAGAAATAACTTAGCTATTAGTAGTCGGCTTTATTAAAGAGGTGTATCACCTGGAGTGGCTCGCTAATCCGGCCCTTGCATGAAAAAAGAATAATGAATGGAGAATGTGCATTGATTACACCGATCTCAACAAACACTGCCCTAAAGACCCATTCGGCTTACCTCGCATTGACGAGGTCATATATTCAATAGCAAGTTGTGAGCTCTTGTGCTTTCTCGATTGCTATTCTGGTTATCACCAGATCTCCTTAAAGGAGGAAGACCAGATCAAAACTTTGTTCATCACACCCTTCGGTGCCTATTGCTACACCACCATGTCCTTTGGGCAAAAAACACACGGTGCCACCTACCATAGGGTTATCCAATGATGCCTCCAAGACCAAATCAGGAAGAATGTTGAGGCCTACGTCGATGATGTGGTAGTTAAGTCTAAGACTGCCGACAACCTCATCGCTGACCTCAAAGAAACTTTCCAAAACCTAAAGAAATTCCAATGGAAGCTGAATCCCACTAAGTGCATATTCGGTGTTCCATCTGGTATACTCCACGGCAACGTCGTTAGTCGCCATGGCATCGAAGCAAACCCAGAGAAGATAGAAGTGGTTACCAAGATGAAACCATCGACCTACATGAAGGATGTTCAGAAGCTAACGGGATGCATGGCGGCTTTAAGTTGTTTCATATCCCGATTGTGCGAAAAGGGTTTGCCGTTCTTCAAGCTGCTCAAAGCTTCAGAGAAGTTTACTTGGATGCCTGAAGCCGACAAGGCCTTTGCCGAGCTCAAGCAATTCCTCACAACGCCTCCAGTCATGATGGCACCACAAGCTGACGAAACCTTATTGATCTACATCGCTGCAACCAACTGTGTCGTTAGTACTGCCATCGTCGTTGAACGAGAAGAAGCCGGGCTTGCCTATAAAGTTCAACACCCTATCTACTTCATCAGCGAAGTCCTGAACTAGTCTAAGGCTCGATATCCACAGGTCTAGAAGCTGTTGTACGCTATCCTTATTACGTCCAGGAAGCTCCGCCATTACTTTGAGACATATCATGTAGCAGTTGTTACTGAGTATCCGCTGGGTGACATCCTCCGTAATAAGGAAGCCAATGGCCGCATCATTAAATGGGTGGTAGAGCTCAGCACGTACTCCATTGATTTGAGGGGCCGCCAGACGATAAAATCTCAAGTGCTCGCCGATTTCATCGCCGAATGGACCGACATGCAAGCTCCTGTCTCAGCCGACCGACCCGGGCACTGGGTCATGTACTTCGATGGCTGCCTCAACCCTGATGGTGCTAGGGTAGGTATCTTTTTTATTTCTCCATCAGGGGATCACCTCTGATATGTCCTCCGAATTCATTTTCTAGCCTCCAATAATGCCGCTGAGTATGAAGCTTGTCTCCATGGTCTCCGTATTGTCGTCGAACTTGGCGTTAAATGCCTCTTGGTATACGATGACTCCGTACTAGTCATTAATCAGGTCAACAAAGATTTGTCTTGTACTAGTGACAAGATGGATGCTTACTGCTCGGAAATTAGAAAGTTGGAGGGCAAATTCTATGGTATTGAATACCACTACGTTGTACGAGATCAGAACCAAGTATCCAACCCGCTATCCAAGCTAGGGTCAACCAGAGCTGAGGTCCTGGCCGATGTCTTCATCTAGGATCTTCAAACTCCACCCATTAAGCAGGAGCAAGCAGTTCACGAATCTTCCCCCTCCGAGCAATTGATCCTGGTAATTCCCACGCCGAGCAGTGATTGGCAAGAGCCTTTTATCAAGTATTTGACCACTATAGATGTACCGGCTGACAAGACCGAGATGGAATGCCTAATTCGCCACAGCAAGCATTACGTGCTAGTCGATGGCAAACTAATGTGGAAGAATGTAAAGGAGGAATTGCTTCAGAAGTGCATATCTTAGGAAGAAGGAGTGGCATTGCTTCAAGAAATCCACGCTCGATCCTGCGACAACCACACAGCCTCTAGAAGTTTGGTTGGCAAAGCTTTCCGAGTAGGTTTCTATTGGCCATCAGCAGCCGCAGATGCCGAAACGCTTGTCCGACGGTGTGAGGGATGCCAATTTTGTGCCAAATAGATCCACGTTCCAGCTCAGGCTCTGCAGACGATTCCCGCCACTTGGTTATTCGCATGCTGGGTACTGGATATGATTGGGCCATTCAAGAACGCCCCTGGTAGATTCCGATGGGTTTATGTCGCTATTGACAAATTCTCCAAGTGGCTCGAGTACAAGCTGCTCGTCCAGTCTACAGCAAAGAAAGCAGCGAGCTCTTCAACGACATCATCCATAGGTTTGGGCTACCGAAGAGTATCATCATCAACCTTGGTTCTACATTTACCGACAACGACTTCTAGGATTTCTGCAAGGATCGGTGCATATCCATTAAGTATGTATTAGTCATGCACCCCAAGGCTAATGGCCAGGTTGAGCGAGCGAACGGCATGATTTTAGACACCCTGAAGAAGAGGTTATATGAGAAGGATTAGAAACATCCGGGCAAATGGCTCAAAGAACTACCAGCTGTGGTCTAGGGACTAAGGACCCAACCCAGTCGCAACACTGGAGTCTCCCCCAATTTCTTGGTGTTCGGATCAGAGTTCGTGTTACCCGTCGATGTCGCTTTTCAGGCACCAAGGATAGAGAACTATGATGAAGAGAACAATGATCAGGCACGACAAGATGATGTCGACCAACTTGAGGAAGAATGCTTGGTCATATGTGTTTGGACGGCCAAGTACCTGGACAGTCTGCGTAAATACTTCAACCGCAATCACTACAAAAATTTGGGCTTTGTATGACAAAGGCAAACTGTCACGATAAGTACATAATTTGTCATAAAAAGCATCTTATGACAAAAAGGCAGCGTCACGCCGATCATCATATAACGACCGTCACATAATGTACCTCGTGACGATACCATGGAGAACCGTCACAAAATGTGGTGACCTTTTGTGACGGTGTGTTTCAACGTCACATATTAGTTATCTTTTATGACGGCTGTGCTCGTCACATATTGGATAGTCAACGCGTCACTTTATGTATGAGCCATCACAAATGATTCGGTGGAAGACATGTTTGGATGGGTTTTTGCGATGCCACAATAGCGTCATATATACAATTTTATATTTTGTGACAACTATATTTCGTCTTGTTTTGGATGGTAGTTTGATGCATTTTGAGATGACTATATGGTGTCACAAGTTGTCTTCATTCATGACGAGCGTGGCATGCATATTCAGTGATGACATAGATCTTTCATCGCATCTCACAAAAGCATAATACACATATATCATCCAACCCATCATCCTTAGAATGCACTGAAGTCATCATCCACATGATTGACATCACAGGTCATAAATCATACACACTTGTTCCAGACACACATTGTTATCATCCACAAACATGCATACATATAAGTTTTTGGTTGCAGGTTACCACACATTGTTCCAGCACACTTGTTCCACCACATAGTTTCAGGTCACTAGCATAACAGATAAATAGATAGCACATTGGACTGACAAAGTTCCAACCACACATAGTAAGTTCTAGCTAGGTAGCAATAACATAGGCCAAAGCCTCATCCTACGAAACTGCATTCATACCTACCTCAATCTTTCTGAAGTTTGAGGACAGCTCGCAGCAGTGCATTAGTCTCTTCAAACTTGGTATTCATCCCCTTCACTTCCTCTTGAGTCTGGCGCAGCAAACTTTGGTTTTCTTGGAGTGCGGCTTGCTGAGCTTGAAGCTGTGCTTGCAATTCTTCCTGCTTCCTAGCAGCTTCGTCTCTTTCAGCTTGAAGTCTTGCCTCAAACTCAGCTTGAAGGCATGCTTGTGCTGCTGTCGATGAGGCTTGGCCAGTCTTCGACAGTCTAGGGACACCAATGTTCGGAAGAAAGGTGGATGAACGGCTGATGTGGCTGAGACTTTCAGCAACAATAGTGGAGGGAGACTTTTGTGCTTCTCCTTCTTCTGGCTCTCTTTCTTCTCTGCCACCATTTGTTCCTACATAAAATGAATGCAGATTAATAACAAGGCCATAGAACAAGATCAGAAGCAGGCATTTACTTGAGTACAGTAGATGTATCCAATCATTTAGGAACTTACATATATTTCATCTGCAAGAGGAGTAGCATGACCACTTTGGCGACTAGTCATGCACTCCCCAAAGAAATCAACAGCATCTGGTTCCATGTTGTTGTACTTAGGCCTCTGCAGCATGTTAAAAGTAGAAGATATAAGAGTAGCCATGAATTATATGTACATGCCAAACACCAAGATGCCAAAATATGTATGCACTAGACATCATACTAGTTTTTGCCTAAGTATTTGCCTCTAGATTTTTTATGCCAACAACAAATACAATCACTAACAGTCAACTAATTTCTGACAGTTGGAGAAAAACAACTTAGGATTATGCATCAATCCAACCTGGACAGATCAAGAAGAATAACTTGGCCTAATCAACACCTACTACTACTGTTGATGAGCATCTCCGATGACATAACAATTTGTATTGCAGATTTCAGTTTGAAATGGTCAGCTTAAGAGATTTGGAGCATAAACACCTAATGATTATAGCTCACTCAGCACAACGCAAATATTATGAACATGGGAGCTCATCTCAGAAATCATAGGGCCAAAGCCACAATCAACTACAAAATCAGAGCTCATCTCAAAAATCAAAGGGCCAAAGCCACAATCAAATACAAAATTAGAGCTCATCTCAGAAATAAGTGGAGCAAGTGCTAACTTGATAGTCCACAAGCACATGGTAATTACTAAGCTACAAATGTCCCATCTTTCAAGCTAATTATACAAAAGACATAGTATCTGTGCAGTCATATCGATGGGCAATATATGACCTAGCTCCAGTCTTTTGGTGCAGCTGCACTTGGCCTCGGTTAACTTTATTCTTAGCAGATTTTTCCTACACCACAAATGCAATAAAGAGTTGTCATTCACATGCATAGGTTGCATTGCATAATAACAAAAGGAGATAATTCAGGCATGGACCTTTTTCTTGCTTCACACCAGTACTCTACCAGCTTTACCCACTCCTCTTTCTTCATCTTTGGTGGAGGTTGTTTGGCCAAGAGCTGTTCCATTGTGAGTGTAGGGTCGAAGTACTTCATTTTCAGGTGATACCTCTGCTGCCTTACTCCCTTCTTGATGATATCAGTGCATGCAGCTTTGCTTGGTCCCTCGTTCTTAATATCCACATCCAACCTTGACTGCAGTCACACATATGAGATATTAGACACAATTTTTGACATGGTAGTGGAGTAATGAAAGGAAGTATTTGGAGTGAAATAGCTATCTTACCGCCACTTTCTCAAGCACTTTTGTTATTTGTGCCGGTCCGCATCTTTTGATATAGCTTCTAAGATGTTAAGATAGGCGGGTTGTCTCTCGGGGCAACACCAATTTTTGATGCCAACTTATTGCTGAAGTGGTACATCAGTCTTTTCTTCCTTTCACCACACGGATAGCCAACTTCTTTCCTCTATTTATCATCTTCTCTAAGCCATGACCCATGGTTTTCTTGCGGACATTCTTTTGGCGCTTGCATTAGCAAATATTGATCAAAATGTGTTATTAAAGCAAAGAATAATTGTAGATAATGATTGGAGAAATAAATGCTTGGCAAGATGTATTGTTTACACGGAACTAAGTCATCACTTGGTTCTCCTTCACATGTATTACCCTCTGAATTAGCAACATCAAATTGCTCAAATGACTCATTGATGTCATTGCTTTGCCTAGAGCTCTCAGCCACTGGCGAGGTGTCTGTAGAGGGATTAGCTGGTTAATACTAGTTATGGGAGTCATTTGCCTCGGCCCGAGACATGGTAATAGTGGGTCTAGGAGTATGCTCGTGGTTAGCACCAGCAAACGAAGGCATGGTGTTTGGTGTGAGGTGGCCTTGCAGTTGGTGGCACTAGAGATGGCAATAGGTTTAGGGTTGGCTTTGGAAGTGTTCTTAGGAGGCAAGGGATTTCTTATCCTAGGTGGTGGATGGCCTCTAGGTGAAGGCATGGCTGCACTTTGCCTAGTGAGTTTTATTGGCATCCGTAGTTCTTGCTTGGTTGGCGGCCGCCATTGTTGCTGCCTTTTTGCTTCTTCCGAGGCGAGTTCTGGAACCATCGCTCCTACCTACCAAGAGAAACATGCATCTTAGTAATGAACAAAGAAGTGTCAAGTAGCATAATTAAGTACAATGAACTATATGTTTGAAATAGATATACCATAAACTTGTTAGTTGGCCTAGTAATGCATCTCACCTTGGTATTGACCTCATTATTGAGGTCATCGTCATAGTCATCATCGGTGTCGATTGTTTATCAACATCGAGGAGGGTCATATTCAATGTCGATTCTGGATTGTTAGATTCTGAATTCCCCCGCCTTTTCCTTTTTTGATATAACTTCTCTAATAGATGAGCTAAGATTGGAATACCCAAAGACTTAAAAACTTCCTGAACATGCTTTACATTCTCATCCCTCTTACGCTCATAACTGGTTTTTGTCATTTCCTCTATTACTTAGTACGATGAAAAGCATGAAAGAGCGAAACTAGATTTAGTTTCAGTAAAAGGACTTGAAGAAATAACTAACACATCAAGATTTTCTGTTAAATAGTAGAAAGAAGGCAAAGTATCAAGTAAATTCAACTAACATGGTTATGCGGTAAATGTGACAAGAAACAACTAACAGATGACAACAATGTCTCAACAACTAACAGATGACAACAATGTCTCAACATGTATCCATCTTTCATTTCATTCCAACATTTCATTCCAACTCACAATTTTTTGCAAAAACAGAACTACAAAGTGTGCATTCCAACTCGATCAAGAGAAGACATGTAGATTGCAATGGTAGAACAAGATTAGAATTATGTACATTCATCTTTCTTGTGCATCTAACAGTTTTCAGTCATGCATGATTTATGTCCATCTTAGTATATTATGATAAACACTATAATCGGATTACTTTGCCCGTAGCCAATAAACAACAACCATCTACCGACACCCAAGGTTGAATTTCACTAGTACTTATAGTAAATATAAAGCATATACTTCACTCGATTCAGAGATGACTTGTCCAATCCAATTGAAATAACAGCTTTCAAATCGGGTTGTGAACTTAACCAATATCGGGAACAATAAGCAACCGACAAAGATTCAGGCAACTTACTTCAGTACATCCAAATCAAATAGTAGGTGCTTTTAGCACACAATGTGGAAAGCAGATAGGCCCTAGTAAGGTAAATACCTAAGTGAAAACAAGGATGCTACAAGTGCAAGATGTTTGCCAAGATGTGAAAACAAGGATGCTACAAGCAGGCTCACCAAGTGTCAGCGGGTAGCCGATGAGGCAGACGACGTGGCACGGAGCCACAGCGGTAAGCACATGCCCTATGGTGGATGGGCGCCCTATGAGCCGTGGATGTCGTCGGGGCAGCATGAGCTACGGATCTGGCCTCCGGCGTCGGGGTGGTTCCGACCTCCGGCGTCGGTGCTGACGGAGTCCGGGAATGGATCTGGCCTCCGGCGTTGGGGACGAGTGGTGGCGGCGTGATTTGCGCGGGTGGTGGTGGGGTGCCATTAGGTTTTGGGGAGGGAGGAGGAGGCCATGGTATGTGTGAGGAGGAGTAGATCCTGGCCGGGGATGGAGGGGATGGGTGGCGGTGCGGTGGCTTGGTATGCGGCGGTGTGGCGGCGCTAAGTGGACTGAGACCGGGAGTGACTGTGGTGCCCAAGAGGATAAGGCAGTAGGGGAAAAATTTCGATTAGGCAGGCAGGAGGCATGTTGGAGCCCATTTGTCGGTCATAGCCAACGCGCGGGAGAGCGGGCGGTGGAGGTAGCCAATTTTGGTCTGACGCGGTGGGTCCGGCTGGTCGGTGGCGAATCAAACACTTGCATTGTTACGTCTGGCGCGGTGGGGGGCCCTATGTCGATCATAGAAACAAGATATTACAAAAATCAAATACATTTTTGGGGTACTAAATGATTCGAACTGGAAAAATGGTAAGAAACAATGTTGTTCAGCGCATCGAGATCTACCATTTGTATTTCTGACATTTTTTCAATTGACTTTGTTTAGAGAGTTCAAACTTTGAATTTGGAAAATTTTAAACTTGAAACTCAAATTTGAGGTACTAAGTAATTCCAAATGACAAAGTCATGAATACAAAAGTTGAACAACTCATCAACATCTAAAAATTTTGTATAGACCATTTTTTCATATGACAAAGTGATTAAAACTTTGTTCTCAAATTCTACTTATCTCTCTTATAGTTCATGACTTTTTAGATGTTGAGGAGTTGTTCAATTTTTGTATTCAAGACTTTTTCATTTGAAATATTTTTTAGTGTCTAAATGTGGTTTGTTTTTGTCACTTTTTGGAAATTCAAAGTTGTTAGTGTTCAATTTTTGTTACATTCAAATATGACCAAACTCAATGCAACTAATGGATACATCATGATTTTAGAAAATTTTAGAAAAAAAAACATCAAATTTGGAGCATGTATGTGGGAGTAATACTAGTTACAATTTTTTGCCAAAGATCAAAAAAAGAAATGAGCTTTGCACAATGAAGGCCTAAATACCATGAAGGCCCCACCTGCCATAGAAACTTTGCTCCACTTGCAGGGGCCACATGTGTGTACCAAGGCATACTTAGCATACTGGCTAAGACACAAATGTGTTGAGGCCGGCCACATCTGGCCACCTGCTCCTCGCCGACCACCCCCACCTGCTCCATAGCCGGTGATCCCTATCCCACCTTCTCCCCACCGGCGACACCGTACCCCATGTGCTCCTCGCTGGGGCTCGATGAGCGCGCGCTAGGGGGCGACTGACGTGAAGCTACTCCTCCTCTCAGGTCCCATCGCGCTAACCTCGACTGCTCCCTCGCCTAGATGCCTACTCCTCCTCTCAGGTCCCAGCGTGTCGCCACGGCCGGCTCCTCCTCTCACCACCTACTCACTGCCTGCCACCATCAAGCCTCGTCTGCCACCACACACACATTGCATGCATCTCCTCCAGCCACTGCTAGAGGAGCTGCTGAAGCCTCGCAGCCTAGCCCATCTGCTTGCCACTAGCTCGGCAGTCATTGTTCAAGGTTGATTTGCCATACTGGTCAAAATTGAAGCTACAGTACAACCTTGATGTTATGCACATAGAGAAAAACATATGTGAAAACATTTTGTCAACTCTACTTAATATTCTGAACAAGACAGAGGACACAATTGCTGCTAGAGTAGATTTGGAAGAAAGAGGTATAAGAAAAGAGCTTCATTTGTTAGATGACACTAGTGCTGCATCCTCAAAGCCAAGAGCTTGTTACGTTCTAACACCAGAAGCAAAGAAGTTCTTGCAATTTGTGAGCAATGTTAAGTTTCCAGATGGCTATGCCTCCAATATATCAAGATGTGTTAATATGGAGGGAGGAGGATCAATGCATGGGCTGAAAACACATGATGATGTCATATACTCATCGCAGCGTATTTTACCAAATTGCCTTCATGGTTTGGTGCGAAAAAGACGATATGAAGTAATTGCTGAGTTGGGTAGGTTTTTTAGACAACTTTGCTCAAAAACTCTAAAGGTTGATGCACTAAAACAAATGAAGGAAGATATTGTGCTTATCCTTTGCAAGCTAGAGAAAATTTATCCTCCTATATTCTTCGATGTTATGGTTCACCTAGCAGTTCACTTACCTGATGAGGCACTCCTTAGGGGACCGGTGCAGTATGGATGGATGTACCCCATTGAGAGAAGATTGGGCACCTTTAAGCGTTTCATCCACAATAAAGCAAGACCTAAAGGTTCTATTGCAGAGGCATACATTGCCTATGAGTGTATGACCTAGTGCTCAACATATTTCAGTGACATTATTAATAGGTTCACTAGGCCTAAAAGATACTTGGATGGAGAAAAGAACATCTCACCCAATGGATACTCTATTTTTGGTCATGGTGTTAACCTGTTGGGTGCTTCAAAACTTCATTATGAAGACAAAGACTATGACTCCATGGTTTGGTTTGTTCTAAATAACTGCGAAGAGGTTGATGAATACAAAGAGTGAGTAATTGCTGTAATTTCATTTGAGCCATCTTTATTCAAAACAAGTGTCACAAAAAGACTAACTATCTTCTTCCATTGCAGCATGTATAGGGCAAAATTAGAACAACAAGAGGTCAACGATGTTGAAAAAATGATGTCAACACAATTTGTTGCATGGTTTGAGAATCATGTGTGTGCAGCTTCTATAACATGACTTAATAATTTATGATACAATACACTCTGAAACTCAATAATTTTGTATGTTTACAACCTGCAGATTACGAAATTGAAATATGAAGGCACAACACATGTTGATGAAGACCTGTACTCACTAGCATGTCGGCCGGATCTGCGAGTGCGTTCATACATAGTCTACATAATCAATGGGGTACGGTACCACACTATGGCTCATGACGAACACAAGAAGACACAGAACTCCACCATCAAAACTGTAGGTACTCACGGTGGTGACACAATTGACTTCTATGGGACAATCACATACATTTATTGAGTTGAGTTACGATAAGAAGAACAAAAGGGCATAGAACTGTTATCTTATTACGGTGTGAATGGTACAATCTAGAGGGAAAGACATACCAATTGAAAGATGATGATGGTTACTTCAAGAGCATAAATAGCCAAGGCCGATGGTATAAGAATGATCCTTTCATTATAGCCACCGATGCTTCACAAGTATTTTTCTTGGAAGATACAAAGTTAGGTCCATGTTGGCGAGTGGTACAAGAATTTGGCCACCGACATATATTTGATGTTGAAGAGACCGACACAAACCAACCAATCCATGAACAAGTACAGATGAGATGTCGGGAGGCATACTAAGAGGAGCATACTTCATCAAGAGATGGTGCGATGGGAGATATTCATCCCGATATGGATTTGTTAAGCATGGATAATGAACCGTGCAGCCCTGTTAGTAGAGACCTCATCGAGAGCATCCGTCGACAAAAACATACAACTCAAGGTGATGAAACATACAAATGATGATGAAGATGAAGATGAAACCTACCTTGAGTACCATAGTCCTGAAGAAGGCAATACTTGAGAGAAGACAAAGATGATGATGACCGACCTTTGCATTTCTAGAGATTTGTGAACCATGAACTTTTCTATTATTGATATTGTTGTATTTGAATTATGCTACTACATTTATATCTGAATTATGAAATTGTAAGACCTTATATGCAATGACTCTGCTTTTCAATGGATGGAAGTTACAAATGCCTAGATTTCATTCACATGATGCAAGTTATATATAGTGCCCAGACTTCATTCACATGATGCAAGTTATATATAGTGCCTAGATTGTTGTGTTTTCATGACACATGATAATGTCATGTAATGCCCAGAATCTATCATGGAATGTACATAATCTATCACAAAATGTATAGCCTAGAAGTTGCGAGACATGCTACCAAAAATTCATTCCACACAAGTAAAT